CTCCATAACACCAAAACACAATGAAAAAAAGAGTAATATGTTTTGAAATCCAAAAGGTTTATTTTCTCAGTACCAAGCTGTTTCTAGGACTGATTAAAAGAAGATCAAATTGGAGTAGAAAATTCCCCATAAAATGCTTACATAGAAACTTCAGAATACACGAATACATGAATCCGGTTCTATGAAATGTGCTGATCACACCAGCATCAGCTCACTAGCACAGTGACCACAAATTTCTTTGTAACTCCATGGGTGTGATATCCAAAGTGTCCAAGATCACCATCATTTTGCTGAATTTCTCCACAGCTCCTCTGCTTCCTGGTGGTTATTTATGTAACATTATTCCACATAGGAAAGTACAGCTGTTAAAGTTTTAGAATCAGGAATAAGAATACATTTTTATTAGATCTTTCATCTTGTCTACAGTATTTAACTTGGTTTAAATAATGGCAACAGCATGCTAGCTCCTCCACCATAACTCACCCTTGTGCTTTTGGGGTTTCAGAATGGGGTGTCTATCAAACCACGTATAAGATTAATATTGTGTGGGAATGTATAATCACTTGGTGAATTTGATAATCACTTGGTGAATTTGAATTCATACACTTTGGGTCAGCCCTATATGGGTAGAAACAATAGAACTTAGCTATAAAATTGAGGGAATAAGAAAGAAATGAGAGTTTAGGGGATTAGAGTTTTCCATGCTAAAAAGAAAGTTTTATACATTAAAAAAAACCAGGGAAATACAGACGGATAAGTTTATATTTAGAAAGGAAAATAAAAAGCTGTGTTATGATAAAGCTGAAGTTGTGGGAGATGAATGTGTTAAAACTAAGAAGGTATGATGATCTCATAATGTGTCAAGTTTGGGTTGACCTACTTTTTTTTTAATTAAAAAATGTTAATAGTGAGACATCATGGGGTACAGTTGCAGACTTGCACATTTTTGTGCTTGGGTTTCAATTATACAATGATCAAATACCCATCCCTCCATTGGTGCCCATTTCCCACCACCACGGATCCCAGTATCCCTCCCCCCATCCCCCCCTGCCTCTGTGGCAGGGCATTCCCTTTTGTTCTCTCTCTCCTATTGGGTGTTGTGGTTTGCAAAAGAGGCAATGGGTGACAATCATGTTTAGTCTATAGTCTACTTTCCGCATGCTTCTCCCATCCTGGGAAGATCCTCCCAACACCTTTATTTGGTGTTCCCTTCTTTATCTGAGCTCCCTTAGGAATTTTAATACATGACTTTACTGATTTGTGGAACAGGGATTGTTTATGTTACTGCATCTTAAAACTTCTTTGAATCTTTGATCCTTCAAGATTTCACTCAGACTACTGATGCTAATATGAAGTCACTAATTTCTCCAGAAATGGTTAAAATTTGATTCTGATTGATTTTTCATTGTTGACAGTTATTCTCAATCTTCTCAACTGAGTGTTTTTAGATTCCCAGACATCCTGGCAAGTTCCTATCATTTCCTATCCAAAATGTGTCTGAGCAGTGTTATTCAGAGTCAGATTGTTTAGCCAATTTATTTCATCTCTTGAGAAATACAACAGATGTATTAATGCTTATTGGGGAGTCATGAAGACTAGTGGTTGAAGACTAGCATTATCTGACTTGAATGTGGCTTGGGATACTCCTAAGAATACAGTTTCAGGGTTAGTACTTCCAGTTAGTCACCCAACTCTAATTTTACCCTTTATTTTGTGTTCCATAGCTCCTAAATTTCATGTTATTTTACAATCCAATGTAATCATTTTCTTGTTATACAGTGGGAAACCTCAGTAACACCTATTACTAAAAAAGACAGCTCAACCAGATGAATCCCAAAGCTATAGTTTAATTTGCTTTGAACTCAAGTATTTAACATTTTTAATTTGTTTCAAAAAGCATTTCAGATATCAACAGAAAATAGTGTCATAGTTTCTTCCCTTGACAATCCTCCTCCAAACTTTCAAGCTCCTTTATAACTATTAATTGCATGTCTTTATGGAGAAAAATCACTAATTCAGGCCAAAAAAAAAAAATCAAGATGTCTGTCAGAGATTGAAGAGCAAAATTTCCAGACACTACTAACTGTTTGAGCTTTATTTGTAAAAGTAATATATGATGTTAGAAAGTTTATAATCATATTGTTGAGCATTTAGTTTATGAGCCACATTGGTTTGGTTTTGGGGCCACACCAGCTGTGCTCAGGGCCTACTCTTGGCTTTGCACTTGGGGACCAGTTCTGGAGTGGCTCAGATGACCATATGGGGTGCTGGGGATTGGTATCAGATGACCACAAGCAAGGTAAGCACTCTACCCACTGTATTATCTCTTCAGCTCACCACACTATTTTTTTTTTTTTTATCAAGTACTATGTATAGACTGAAAGTGAAGTAATGTGCAAAAGAACATGAAGGATACCAGGGTCAGCATCAAAGATAAAATTTGCATTATTAAAATTATCTTCAGAATCCCTCATACCCAAAGATTTGTTCTAGGTTATTAAAATATAATGAAGATAATTGAGAATACACTTTCAGCAACATTTTTGTCGGGAACCTGAAGAGCAGTGTAGCATTTCCTTTTTCATTAAACAGAAGTGAAATATTTACTCTATGTGATGAAAACTGTTAAATCTTGAAAAAATTTTTATTCCTACCTTAGTAAAAAAGCAGAAATTTAAATTTTCTAACCTCTTTCACTCACCTGACAATAAAACTAGGAGACTCAAGTTCATTTTGATTTTATTAAAAAAGTCATATAATAGTAAAACGACTACCTGTATTCTTAAAGTTACAAGAAATGTATTTCTACCTCCCTCGCTTTTCTCCTTATACTGGAGTAACAATTCTAATTATTTTGGGACAAAATCATAGAAACCATGGAAAGCAATGTAGAAATGACATAATCATAAAGCTATTTTTAGAAGATAGTAACAATTTATAGATTTAAAACATTGAGGTTGTGCAGTACTCAGAATTCTGATTACTCAGATACTTGGGTTTTGACTAGATTTCAAAGAAATGATGAATGGTCCCTAAAAATTTTTCTTTCTTGCTTTTCACTTTCCTTTGATTCAATGTCTCAAAATCTTTGAAATGAGTACAAGGTCTTAGTGGAAATCTTTCTCTGAGATACCAAGGAAATGTAGACAATACAGCTACCTCTGCTTCTTAGCAGCTGTGTACTTGAAATGCCTGCATTCAGCGGGCTGGAGCTGGAGTTAGTTAAAAGTTACTGAAGAACTCCTCAGGGGCAAGAGATGTAGTTCAAGAGGGAGAGAAAATGCAGAACATGTTCACACTCCCGGGTTTGAGCCTGGAACACTGCCTGTGTGAACCCCATAACAACTGAAAAAATAAATTCTAAAAATACTTGACTGTCCAAAGTGGTTAGTTACCCCTCTTTTGTGGGTACACTGGGGTATTCTGGCCCAAGCTAAGGTTGGCATGAAATCTAACCTTGTTCACATATATCAGGGAAGTATTTATTTTTTAATATATTTGTTATGCAAGAGGGAATACACAGTCAACTCCAATTGAGGTAGGTAACAGACATGGAAAAAAAAAACAAAAAAAACAAAACCAAAAAAAACCAACCCCCCCCCAAAAAAAAACCCCGAAAGACCTAGTAGTATCAAACTTCTGCCTACCTTTCTATTTTGGGACCAGGAAGGAGGCTAGCAAGAGTATTTCTGAGTCCTCATCATTCTATCCAGTTGTCTAAAAGACTTTGAAACAGGTAATGTTTGATGTTTGGACTGAGTGTTACCCCCGCTTTTCAGCAACCCACTGTCACACCCAAACCAAAAAGATATCTGAATATTCTCTGGGCTTAAAACTACCTTCTGGCTACAAAACACAAATGAGTGGAAGTCTTTGATAAAATATATCAGAGCAAATAGTAACAGCATGTCTTTTATTTTTTTTAAATGGAACACTCTTTCTTCCCAAACTCAAAAAGAACTTCTATTTCAAATAGTCAAAATGATTTATGCCCAAAATAAGCTGCTTTCTACTTTGTTTAGAATTTACGAGGCTCGAGCGATAGGACATGGGAGAGCGTTTGCTTTGCATGCAGCCAACCTGGGTTCGATGCCTGGAGCACCGGCAGGAGTAACTCCTGAGTGCAGAGCCAGGAGGAATATCACTGGGTATGACCCAAAAAAGTTAAAAAAAATCACAAACAATAAAAACATTTATATTATCACACAATTGTCAAAGAAACTATTTTTTGACTACTTTCCATCTATCTCCTCTGAAATGTCAAATGTTAGAACTGATTAGCTAGAACATTCTTTCATTTTTCAAATCATTTTATTATTAGCATAAAAAATGTTACAAAGGTTACGTTTGGAAAATCTACTTTCTAACAGTACTGGAATAACAGATTACCACTCAGAAAAAAAGACTCCAAAAGGTGACCTACACCGCATATGTATATATAAGACAAGGACACACTTGTCCTATATTTGAGTGGATACTCTGTAAGTCCTTAATGTTCTGTTAAGCACGAGACAGTTCAGAATAAGAACAATGGTCACATTTTGAGTCTGTCTAAAAAGCAAAATCTATTCCTTCGAACTGGTTATAGAGAAATGGGTGGTGCTTGTTTCCATATTTTGTTTATGCAAAACGATCTACCTAAAGACATTTTAAAATTATTTAAGATACTTTTCACTACCTAAAAAGAAAAAGTTTTTATGTTTCTTAGGGGCCACATGAGACTACTATCTACTTAAAATTATATATAATTTTGAGCTGAGATATTTTATCTTAAATTTTAATCAGATTCTTATTAATTGTTATAAGGTGCTGACTGTTAACTTCTAAACCTTAGTCACCACCCCAGTGTCCCTCTTGTCTCCACTGAAAATTATTTAAGGCCTGCCTTTACTAGCATGGATCAAAGAAACAAGTCATGGGAAAAGAGAAATAGATTTAACAACTGTCCAACATCACCTACTAAATTACACAAGATTCCAGGTGACACACAAAACATAAACCAGATTTAAAGTGCTGTATTAACACACATACACAAACAAATCACAATAAATACAGATATAGTTTGCATTTTGGTTACAATTAAAAGAGTGTTTCATTTTAGAGGACCTGACATTAAACACATATCGGATTATCTTACTGTAATTGTTCTACTTTGCTCTTTCATTTTAATAACAGCATTTTTCAGAAAGTAAGAGTTAGCTGTCAAATTTATGTTTAAGACTTTTATCCACACCTGACCAGAGAGATTTCAAAGGTTACTGCACCAGTCAGCTCTTCTAAACTCTTTTTATGTTAAATAAGGGCATTTTCCAAACACTACTCTTGTGAAGTTATATTTCATTTGCTTCTCCCTTAAGAAATGCATAGGCTTATTTTAAATAGTTTAAACACTTGTAATAAACAATAGAGTTTGCTAGTAGAGGTACTCTGGTTAATGCTCAAAATGGTGTGTTGAGAGAAAAAGCAAGCATTACATTAAATAATGCAATTCTTACCAATACAAATTGAAATTTTTCTCCAATAAAAAAGCTATACTAGAAAGGTCTCATAAAGATTTACCATTTTCAAATCACAATGAAAGAAATTTTCTAATTCTGTTTTCTACTATGTGCCCTAGAAACCTTGCTAAACTGGTATCTGACACAACAGGATGACACTTGTAGAACGTAATATTGTGGTGACCGTATTGAAGTTGACTGTTACAAAAACATGCAACTCTTTAAATATTAAATGGTTATATCCTAATTATTACATAGAACATTGGTCCAAAACATAAAAATAGAGAGCAGCAGCTGGAAATTTATCTCATCAATGTTCAGAGATAAAGGGGTAAACCATCTGTTTCATTATTATCTGTAGACAAAGTCTTTTTTCATTATAAAATTTGAAGACAATTAAGTCCTGGCGTTTTGACAAGTTACTGGATGAAGAGGATGCTGAAGGCCATCACTATACAGCATACTGCTACATAAGGACTCTTTCGCTCACCTGTTTAAAAGAAAAGGAGATATTGCTGATTAATTGAGTGACTAATATGGGCATGATGAGGCTATTACTATAGGAGAGAGGAACATTAAGACTCAAGAATCAGTTCTTGCTTCTGAGTAAATGCAGGGCTGTATGACTCCATCAGTTATTTATATGCTGCTCTAAAGTTGCATCAGAAAGGAAGAAGAAACAGTTACATAATTAATCCTGGTTAATGTACCTGGACTCCTCTGGTAGAAATGGTCTCTTCTCTGACCATACTATGATGTTAAAAATCGGATCTCTATCAGTAACTCATTTCCTTACCTACCTTAGTTAGAAAGCAGTTTATTTCTGGAAAATGGCAGTCCTAACCACAACCTTATCTACTGAAATTCTTAAGGTGACCATTTTCAGAGCTTTATATTCAAAGAGTGACATTGTGAATAAGCCTGTTAAGAGTCAGTTTATCTTTTTAAGAAGTTCTTCTCTTTTTCATCCTTTAACTGAAAATGCTGTAATTTACACATGGGCTTCATTTTTCCTGTTTTTAACTTTCTTAGAAGAGACTGCCATGTGGTAGAGTTAATCATCTTTGGTTGAACTTGGGTAAGAATATTACTTCTTGTCTGGACTTATGCCTGGATTATAAGTGAATGTGAAATATTTGCTATAATGTGATGTGTAATATGGTAAGATAATTTGGCTGGGCCCTTTCTTATTATAACTGCATCCTTTCTTTGTGGATATATTCTTTGTGAAGAGAAGACCACGTGGTTAAGAAAGCAGCATATCAAACATGAGTGTTTTCTAAGCCACTTTGCCAGAATGAAAAGATAACGCTTTCACATAATTGGCAAGAATGAATAAACGAACCCTGGCACTCATAGTTAAGAGGAAAAGGGATATAATAAAGGACCAAGGCAAAAAAGGGGCAGATTATAAAAAAATATAACTCATAAAATTATCTGGAAAGCTACACAACAGGTGTTTTTAAAATTTCTATTTTTAAATTATTAAATAGTATTAGTCTGACAAAATGATATTCTCTTTATTTCATCAAATTATCTTTGCTTTTGCTATAGCATTATCTTTTCTTTGCAGTCTGAGGTATTCTTACCACTCTATTTCTTGACAATACACTTTTTTTTTCCCTGAGCAACCTGATTCTGAAGCAAGAAGTCTCACCCACATATATTTACATTTACATCAGTCATTGAGGATGCTACAGTGTCAAAGTATTCCAGTTTATTTTGATGTGCTTATAATCAGTTTATCTCAGAGTTTGAAGGTATCAAGCATAACTGAATTTGTCATTTATACAAAAAAAATCTCTAAATCTACATTGGGTGTTCTTGGTTTTTAGCACTACTGATATTTGGTGCTAATTTGGCTGTGAGGTGTTTTTCTGTATATCACCAGAAGTATAACAACATACAGAACTACGCCCATTTTATAAGACAACCAAAATTCCTACAGATATTACCAAATATCCTGTCACATGTACCTATGTATCTGTGTGTAACCAATCTTCCTACAGAATAATATTCTCATAACAATCACCATAAAAATAGTGAGGACAAAAAAAATCGATGTAGAACGATTTTACATATTAAAAGCACAGTAACTTATGTTACTGGCGCCCGCTCAAGCAAATTGAAGAACAACAGGGTGACAAGTGATTACAAGTGAAAAGCACAGTAAATTGTTTCAATAGTCAATGTATTAAAATGAGGGCCCTGAAAGAGGTACTTTACCGTGAAGTTTTTCATGCTTGATTTTATACAGCGACTGGATACTCTGTACAGATTCAGAAATCTCATAATCTCAAAACAAATTTAAAGAGAACTTTTACGTAGTTTAGTATTATGCTTACAACTTCAACTGTTAATAGCTCAAAGGAAGAAAGTAAAAAATTCCCAAAATTCTTTCAATGGTGAGCACATGAATCTGAAAATACTATGAGGAATCTGAAACTTCTACAATTACATTGCTAGTCCTTAGCACAGATTAGGTAATACCTGTGCCTGTAATTTATTGAAGATAATTATCAAAGAAAGATAGAATTATGTGTAAATACACCGTTAAAAGAATAGCACTGTCCTCTCGTTGTTCATCGATTTGCTCGAGCAGGAACCAGTAACATCTCCACTGAGAAACTTGTTACTGTTTTTGGCATATTGAATACGCCATAGGGAGCTTGCCAGGCTCTGCCACGCGGGCGGGATACTCAGTAGCATACTAGGCTCTCTGAGAGGGACAGATGAATCAGACCCGGGTCAGCCGTGTGCAAGGCTGTGCTATCGCTCCAGCTCAACGTTAAAAGAGTACTAGAATCAAACTTCATTTTGGTTGTGGTGGTAAAGGGTCAATGCAAAAAATTCCAAAGAAAAGAAGAAATTTATTTTTAATTCAGCAGTTTTAACTATACTGACCTTAAGTGCTTTTTACAGGTGTTAGGTACGTAAAGAATAAATGATTATTCAAGAATATTGATGCATCAAAAAACAAAAAGCCCAGTAATATATATTTTAAAGTATTAACTGACCAATCATTTGAGGGTCTGTTACATGTTGGGCAATGATGTATTTTATATACATAGAATAAAACAAGAGCATATTGCTATTTTAAGTTCTATAGAAGAGATATTTAACTTTTTTTTTCTTCTTGCTTTTTTTTTGGGTCACACCCGGTGATGCACAGGCTATTCCTGGCTCATGCACTCAGGAATTACTCCTGATGGTGCTCAGGGGACCATAGGGGATGCTGGGAACTGAACCCAGGTTGGTCACGTGCAAGGCAAATGTCCTACCAGCTATGCTATCACTCTAGCCCTATATTTAACTTTAACCCAATGAGAACAAGTTAGTTGTGCTCAGTAAAATTCAACACTTAAAACATCTATATCTATATATTTATATCTATGTCTGTCTGTCTATCTATCTATCTATCTATCTATCTATCTATCTATCTATCTATCTATCTATGGCCATATCATTTATGCTCTACCTAAAGGTGCCCTGGGCCACACCTGGAAGTGCTTGGGGTGCCATGTGGATTATCAGGGATTGAATTGGAAAACCTCAAGCATGTGTTCTCCATTTGAGTTAGCAACCTGGCCTCAAAACAACTGGGGGACTGGAGTGATAGTACAGTGTGTAGGGCATTTGCCTTGCACATGGCCGACCTGGGTTTGATTCCCAGCATCCCATATGGTCCCCTGAACACTGTCAGGGAGTAATTCCTGAGTGCATGAGCCAGGAGTAACCCATATGCAATGCCGGGTGTTACCCAAAAAGGAAAAAAAAAACCCAAAAGCAAACAAAAAATCCCCCAAAACCAAAAAAAACATAGCCTTGGGCCAGGGAAAATAAGAAACAGCTAATGAAGCAACAAATAACATTCTATGACTTAGTATTTATTATACAAAATAGATTTGACATGCTTTATAAACATGCACACATATAGCACATTTGTCTCTAACTTCCTTAAAATCTAGAATGTACAGCATTTAATAATCCTTGTTTGCATATTTCATCTCATTACTAATGAAGTACCTTAACAGCTGGTGGGACTTAATAACTTTTGCAAATATATACAAAATTAGATAGCATACAATTTAAAAATCCAACACTTTCAGTGAATGTGACTTAAGTAAACTGGACAACAACCTATAGCACTTAATAGACACTTACCAATTCGGGCACACTTCCAAAATATGCCCAACAATCTGCATAAAATAAAAGAAGAAAAAAACAATCAACAGAATATAGAAAAAAGAATACCTCAGTATGATAAGAAAAACTCAGTATACTCTAGTGCTTTCACTTATGTGCTCTTAAAACTTGAATACATGTGCTTTCAAAGGTTAATCCCAGAATAAATGAGTGGCAAATGATTTGCACAAGGGCTATCATATGATTAGTCAACTATAAGTACTTTAGCTTCAAAAGCAAACATATATTTGCCAAGTTAAATAAACATGAATTTTGAGAATATTGGTAAATGAATTTTGGCTTTGGATGAACTGAGGATAAACCACTGGTTTTGGATGAATTCTGACATTAAAAAATCACTGTCACTGTTCTCCCATTGTTCATTGATTTTGCTCGAGCGGGCTCAGTAACACTGTGAGACTTGTTACTTTTGGCATATCGAATACATCACCCGTAGCTTGTCAGGCTTTGCCCTGTGGGCGAGATACTCTCACTAGCTTGCTGGGATCTCCGAGAGGGGTGGAGGAATTGAATTCGGGTAGGCCATGTTGGATGTGTGCAAGGCAAACTACACACTGTGCTATCGCTCCAGCCCCGGGATTAAAATAAGGTAAAAGGTAAGGTAAAGGCCCTCCCGTTGATCGTCGATTTGCTCGAGCGGGCCCAGTAACGTCTCCATTGGAGACTTTGTTGTTACTGTGTCTGGCATATCGAATACTCTCGGTAGCTTGCCGGGCTCTCCGAGAGGGGCGGAGGAATCGAACTCGGGTCGGCCATGTTGGCCGCTTGTAAGGCGAACGCCCTACCCGCTGTGCTATCGCTCCAGCCCAATAAAAGTCATATATAGCCCAGAAAATACCACTGAGCTAGACTATACCCTAATTTCAATACTGCTTACTTGGTTACTATAAATATCTTATTTCCTCTTTTTAATAGCAGCCACTAGTTGCTAAACAGATCTGAGTTTTTACTCACAAAATTCTCGGAATAAAATTTCATAATATAATAGTTAATAGTTCATTTAGTAGAGCTAAATGAACATGTGACAGTAGCTCAAGATAATTAAAGTTATATTCAAAGCTTATCTTTCATCAAGAATGGAAGACCACTCCTTAGTGATCTTCAAAGCTGTGTATCTGTATCTCTAAAACCTTATTGATTACTGTAATCTGACTAAAATACTGAATAAAATCTACTCTGAGGGACGCAGATGCAGGACACCTGATTTCCTCTGAGGGCATGCACAGGTCTTTTCAGGTTTGAGATTTTACAAATAACTCAAAATGTCAGTAGGAAATTGTTACAATTTTGAAAGCTACTTAAATGAATAGTATCCCACCGGTATGGCAAAGCCTGGCAAGCTACTTCAGAAGAATTCAATATGCTAAAAGCAGTAAAGAGTCTCACAATGGAGATGTTGCAAATAGATGAACGGGAGGATAGCGCAACAGTGCTACAGTGCTTAAATGGAAGGGCTGGGGCGATAGCACAGTGGGTAAGGCTTTTGCCTTGCACGTGGCCCACATGGCCAACCTGGGTTTGATTTCTATGCCCCTCTCGGAGAGAGCCCCGCAAGCTACCGAATGTACCTTGCCCGCAAAACGTGACAACAAAACGTGGCAAGCTCCCCGTGACGTACTCAATATGCCAAAAACAGTACAAGTCTCACATTATGTTGTGAGATGTTACTGGTGCCTGCTTGAGCAAACTGATGAAAAACGGGAGGACAGTGCTACAGTGCTACTTAAATTGGAAAAAAAAAAAAGTAGTTTCTCAACACTTATTTACAAAAACATAGGAACTTTATTAGTTAATTAAAAAAAAAAAACCCCCAACCAATTATGCTGCTTTGGCTAGAAACCATTTAGTTTATCTGCTGTTAGTGCTAAAAGGGGATATGGAAATTGGAAACAAGGCAAAGTTTCTGCTGTTTTAAAGTTCTTGAAGTAGCAAAACCTGAAGCTATTTTCAAGAGCAGAGGGTTCATCAAGAACACATCAGTCTGTCTAAGCTTTTCTAGTTAAGCATGAAAAACTCACAATAATAAAAGTTTATTATGAGTTTCATAAAATATTTCATAACATATAAAATGGACTATGAATTTTCTTGTACAAAAATATGTTACTGTGCAAGTCAACAGAAAATGGGCCTTAACATTTAAATAAAAATAATATAGACAAAGATTTAAAATGCTTTCAGTTGACACTAGAGCATATGTTTTAAAACATAAAAATAGACATGCTATTTATTTGGTCACTTGTGTAGGAGAAATATACTACTACTCAACCTCTACTGTAAGGCTGGTAGCCCTGAAAACTCCTTTTTGCTTTTTAATGTAGCATGTTATGGATGTATTCCTGCCCCTAAAGGAATGAGAAGCAGGCATTTCCACATGCAATACTTTCTAACATTATTCAAAAAAGTACAACATTCAATTCTACCATGACATGACTATTCTTTGATAAAATACTTAAGTTTATTTCGTCATGGGTTGGAGAGATAGCACAGCGGTAGGGCGTTTGCCTTGCACGCAGCCAACACGGCCGACCAGAGTTCGATTCCTCCGCCCCTCTCGGAGAGCCCGGCAAGCTACCGAGAGTATCTCGCCCGCACGGCAGAGCCTGGCAAGCTCCCTGTGACTTATTCGATATGCCAGACACAGTAACAACAAAGTCTCCAATGGAGACGTTACTGGGCCCGCTTGAGCAAATTGATGAACAACGGGAGGGCCTTTACCTTTACCTTATTTCATCATAGCTTTGATAAGAAAGAAACAATTCTAGTCAACTTAACTTTGTTTTAATTTAATATTGTCTGGTTTAAAATTATTCATTCTGCAGCTGGTGCGAGAGCACAGCAAGCATGAAGAGCAAGCACAGTAGAGGGTCTGCTTTGCAGGCAGGCAACTGGGTTCGATTCCTGGGCCTTCCTGAGCCCCACAGTGAGTGATCCTTTAGCACAGACCCAATAGAAAGCCCTGAATACAGCCGGTGTGGCACAAAAACAAGAAATAATAATTGCTGTTTCTAAGAACATTTATTTTAGTGCATATTAGAATTCCAAGCAAGAGATTTTAAGAGTTTATATACCGATTTCTACCATTAACTTTAACTAACTTTTACAATAGTTTAGGGTTGCAAAGAAAGTGAAGGAGGATTAACAAATCTCTTGGCATGGGGATAAAGGCTCCCTGAAAAACTAAGCAACAAATACGATTACATATTTTCAACAAAAGGACATAATGATGATGATTTGATGATTCAGTGCAACAGTTGAGAGGAAAAGGCGACATAAAGAGAAAGCAATGTCTAAAAAAACTGTGGGATACTGTCATAAAACTAATGGACAATAGCTTTTTTCATCTTTACTAGGTTAAATAAAATTCTTCAGACTGACAGATTGTAAAATCTAATTTTATAATTAGATTTGGAAGATCCCTGGCACTGAATATAATCCTCCAAACAGAGCCAGAACTGACATGAACAAAAAAGTCAGAAGCAGCCCTTAAGTATCACCAGGTACAGCCCCAAACCCCCCAATAAACATTTTTTCAAAAAAGCATATGACCATAAATCGTTTAACTCTGTACAATTATCAAAAGATAAGCGATAATTTAATTTAGACAGGAAGGATGAACGCACTAATGACATGCCCAAATGTTAATTTTTATACTGTTTTAAGTTAAATACATCCCCAAAATGGTTGGTTTAAGATAGAGTGCTGGTGGAAAAGTTCAAATGGTGGGAGCACAGCTTAGCAATCTTCCGTACTGTAATCACATGGTCTCTGGAACATCTCGGGCTACAGCACCCCTTTCTCCCCCCAAAAAGATATAGACAGGGAGTCCAGGTGATTGTGTAGTGGTTGTGAGAATATTATTTTTATGAACATGTGCTTGAAAACTGCTTTCAAAACCTAACCAAATGTATTAATTATTCTACAAACATTAAAACAAACACTGCCAATTTTATCTCTATTTTAGATAAAAATTTGTCATATTTTACAATGACTTTTACCATTCTAATACATTGCAAGTAACTTCTTTTTTTTTTATTAAAAAATTTTTTTTTATTAGTGAAACACCATGAGGTACAGTTGTAGACTTACAAGTTGTTGTGCTTGGGTTTCAGTTATGCAATGATCGAGTACCCATCCCACCACCACTGCCCATTCTCCACCCCCACCAATCCCAGTATACCTTCCATTCCCCCACCCCCCATCCCACCCCGCCTCTGTGTCAGGGCACTCCCTTTTGTTCTATCTCTCCTTTTGGGTGCTGTGGTCTGCAGAAGAGACATTGGATGGCAATCATGTTCGGTTCATAGATTACTTTCAGCAGGCATCTCCCATCCTGGGCAGATCTTCCCAGCACCCTTCATTTGGTGCTCCCTTTTCTATCTGAGCTGCCTTTACCCCTAGAGTGTGCAGCTGGTCTCTAAGCCATGGAGTGAACAACCTGGTATTTATCACAGCTGTTCTCGGGTGTTAGTCTCTTATTTTGTTACTTTATGTTACCCAGATGAATGCGATCTTTCTATGTCTGTCCCTCTCTTTCTGACTCATTTCACTTAGCGTATTTTCCATGTAGTACCATTTGTATGTAAATTTCATGACTTTATTTTTTCTAACTGCTACATAGTACTCCATTGTGTAGATGTACCAAAGTTTCTTTAACCAGTCATCTTTTCTCGGGCACTCAGGTTTTTTCCATATTCTAGCTATTGTAAAGAGTGCTGCAATAAACAAACAAGTGCAGGTGTCACTTCGACTATACTTTTTGGCCTCTCCGGGGTATATTCCCAGGAGTGGTATTGCTGGGTCAAATGGGAGCTCAATTTATAATTTTTTGAGAATACAGTGCAAGTAACTTCTAACTTTTTATCTTTTTACTAAGATACCACGAATATAAGATTTTTAAAAATAAAGGGAGAGAATAATGTACAAAAACATTACAAAGCTAAGTTCCATTTAAGAATTATTTAACGATCTCTATGAAACTTTATATTTATTGTCTACAAGACAAGTTAAAGTAACTAGTATTATTAGAAACATACCCACCCAGTTTTATTTCTGTCCAGGATACTGGGTGCTAAGGATCGGATATAAGCACAGGTACATATAAGCAGCAAGATCACTGTCAAAAGACTCTGGAAATTGAAAATGGCAGACTGAAAAGAGAAAAAGAAAAATTAGTACAAGGAAATTACATTGTTAAAAAAAAAAGCTAGGTTAATTCCAATTAAATATTGCACCTCTTTTTTCCCTTAAAAAAGGAAAACTGAACACAATACTTCTGATTAAAGGATTTACGATATTCAAGATGTATAAAGCACTCACTAGACTTACCAACAAAAATTCCAATGGCCCCAGCCATAAATGGGATGAGTAGATAAACAGATACTTCCAAAGAAGAAATACAGATGGCCAGGAATATCTAACAGTGCTCATTGTCACTCAATTAGAAAAATGCAAATCCAAACAATGAGAAATCATCCTAAGCCTGTGAGAATGAAACATATCCAAAAATATCTGGAAAGAGCAAGTGCTGGGATTGTAGTGAGAAATGAACCCTCATCCACTGTTGGTGAGAATGCATCTGGTTCAACCTCTATAGACAATATAGAGGGCACTCAAAAAAATAAGAATACAACTGCCATATGATCCAGCAATACAATATCTTGGCATTTATCTTCCAAACACAAAAACATTACTTCAAAAGGATAATATGCACACCTATGTACACTGCTGCACTTAGCACAATAGCCAAGATATGAAAACAACCCAAAATGCCCAACTAAGGTGAGTTGACCAAGAGAAGTTGTGGTATATATACACAATGGAATATGATGCAGTTCTGATAAAAACAAAATCATGCAATTTGCAGCAAAATGGATAGAACTAGAGGCTATCAAGCTGAGTGAAGTCAGAATGAATGGGACAGGTGCAGAATGATTTTGCTCATATGTGGGATTTAAAGGTACACAGTGAGGTAGCAACAAAGATCCAAAGGCAACATTATAGGGAATGTTGCAAGCATACAACTGAGTTGAGGAGATTGGGAGGGAGGGGAGTCGAGGTACTTTGGGGTGGGTGGTGATGGGTACAACGGTGATGGGTAAAGGTAAAGGTAAAGGTAAAGGCCCTTCCATTGATCGTCGATTTGCTCGAGCGGGCCCAGTAACGTCTCCATTGGAGACTTTGTTGTTACTGTGTCTGGCATATCGAATACTCTCGGTAGCTTGCCGGGCTCTCCGAGAGGGGCGGAGGAATCGAACTCGGGGCGGCCATGTTGGCCGCTTGTAAGGCGAACGCCCTACCCACAGTGATGGGTGTGGCTTTGAAATTAAGTCTATGAGAAATTATTAATAGGGTAAACATAAAGATGTCTAAGAACTTATAAAGCAATAATTGTGACTGTTTTGTTATACTTTTTGTTATTTGGAATAAAGAATATAGAGCATTCTAAATTAAAAAAAAACCTGAAAACACGATAAAATGTTACGGACCCCAAATGGCTTTCCAAAGCTTAATACATAATTAATGCTATTAATTATGTATTCAGTGCCCAGAATATTAGATGAGATATGCAGTCGACTAGTTCATTCGGGGGTTGGCTCTACGATGGCAACTGAATTATTAGACTCTCTAAGTCTCTTGGTTTTAGTAACTATAAAACTGGATGACAGAGTGGGGAGATATACAGATGCTATTTAAAATTATTTTCATTTCTGAAATTTCTTTAGAAAAAATGTTTAAACAATCATGCTATAAGCATACATTAAGTATACATGCTGCCTGGTTTTAGGTGAAAAAAAAATTGGCTTACTCATTCAATGTTGATGCTCAAAAGTCATTAAGTTTACAGTAAGAACTATAGAAAAGCAGGTTCCACAGCTCTACCTAATATACCCAGACAAAAGAAAATGGTGGAATTAACTCAAAATCAAGCTCAAGTGGCATCTTTCTCAACAAATTTCCTTCTATTCATCAGTTTCTTCTGTTATTTCAAGTTATTTACTTTTGCTTGCACAGTGAACTGTTATGCACATTAAAATATTAATGTATCTCTAGCATCTGGCCACATGGTTACCACACAGTTGAAGTCCAATAAGAAATGGTTAATATAACAATTTTCTAAAATATGGGATATAAAGACATTTTATTACATACAAGTGGAAAAATGTATCATTGTAATATAGCAGTCTATAAAATTCTTATTTGGTAAACATGGTGAGATTACAGACCATAAGAAAAATGAATAAGGTGGCTGGGTATATAGTTAAAATATTTAAATAGTAATAATCATAGTCAGATTAACAATAAATTTAACAAGAGGTGAGAAATACTGATATTAAAGACTAACACTGAAAATCTTAAAATGTACTAAAGGATGTAGAATAGAATCTAATGCATCAGATTCTTGTATTCAAGGGTAATATTGGAAAACTCATCTATAAATTAAAAGTGAAATTAATGCCAGTAATTTACTTGTTGAAACACTGTCACTGTCCTCCCGTTGTTCATCAATTTGCTCTAGCGGGCCCAATAATGTCTCCATTGTGACACTTGTTACTGTGTTTGGCATACTGAATACATCAGGGGTAGCTTGCCAGGCTTTGCCGTGGGGGCAAGATACTCTTGGTAGCTTGATGGGCTCTCCGAGAGGAGCAGAGAAATAGAACCCGGGTTGCCTGGGTCGGCCGCGTGCAAGGCAAACGCCCTACCCGCTGTGCTATCGCTCCAGCCCAACTGATTCTAAACTCCATCACTGTATCACTGCACCACTGTCACCCTATTGTTCATTGATTTCCTTGAGCAGGCACCAGTAATGTCTCCTTCATCCTAAGCTCTGAGATTTTAGAAAGTGCCACTTTGGAGGTTCTTTCAGGGTCAGGGGAATGAGACCCATCATTGTTACTGGGTTTTGGCATATCAAATATGCAATATGTGGAGAAATAAGTCCATTTGTTATTTTTCTATTAAGTTATTTAAATTAACAATTTTTCTATGTTTTATCTTTCCTTCCCTGAAAATCTTATTAAAGAAAAATGCTTACATGATGTCTGAGGTTGGTTTCTAAATAATCCAGAGTATGTTTGTATATGTTGGGGGAGATGTAGAGTAGATGACAAAATGCTAAGTACATGAAGGCTCATTATATACACTCTTCTACCTATTTGTTAGAATTTTTTCATAATAAAGGATTTTTAAAAGGCACTTTAAAACATGCCTATTATTACAGAAATGGGTGTGTATACATGATTTTGTATGAAGATATTTATAAATGAAATCCATCCACAAATATGCAACATATGATACATTTAACTTTGCTCCTACATTTTATAGACTTTAAATATTAAACCATCTTAGGTGGTAAAGTCTTTTTAGACGTACTCATAACATCTAAATATCTCTGGTCAAAAGAGTTTTCTAATCTTATAGACATTAGTTTACCACTGCTTAACCTACCTACCCACTCCTCCTAATGTGTAGCATCTGTTGTTCGTTGATAGAGAATTTTAGTCTCAGGGTTAAAGAAAACAGATGTTATTTCTCAGTAGAAAAATAATTGGGGGTTTCAGTAGGTCACTATTACTTAAGGATGAAGTTAAGAAAAAAAGCATACTGGAATGCAGAATAGGGGGAAAATAATTTAAAAAGCTAAGGAAAACTCAAGCACTGTTTTCAGTTCTTTTTAAATTCTTTACACATGAAATCTTGCTCAAGAGGCTGCTGTATTTTTGCAAATGTCATCTATTTTTTCATGCCTTATGATATGACAAAAATTTATACTCTGGCTCTCAAGAATTAGCCCTCCAAGAAATCTTCCCTGTTCCGATTCTCCACCATGCTTGAGGATCTCTCTATGTGCTTGCGTTACAGACAGCACTTATCAAACCATGCTGTAGGTTTCTGTCTATTGTTTTAAGGTTTTATTAAACCACTAAGCAAAAGAGGTAAAAAGCAGTCACTGACAAATGAAGATGAACTTAAAAAACTGCCACAATGAACAATTATTAAATTAAATTATTAAATTCAAGCGCATATTTAATTCCAAATAAACAATGCATGTTATAAAAATGAAAATGAGAATGCTATACAGATCATCTTGTTAACCATTCGAGAGAAACCTCATTTGTTGCTTTATATTTTTATTTACTTAGTAATGTTATCTGAAAAATCCAAAGGAAGAAACAGTATCCTAATGTTTAAGAAATCAGGTCAGGAGACCAGAGAGACTGTACAGCAGTACGGGAAGAAGGCCATAGGGTGCTTGCCTTTTACACAGCCTACCTAGTACCCTGTACCACACTTGGTCCTAAGAGTTCGGAAAAGTGATCTCTGAGTTCAGAGCCAGGAGTTAAGCCCTGAGCTCTGCCATGGGTGTGGCTTCCCCAAACAAAGCTACTGGTATGTTTGAAATAATTATATTACTGTTCAATATATCCAAATGAATATTGGATATTTGCAAATCATTACTGTGTACAATCATTCTGAGATCATAAGAGCTGAGAAGATCTAATAAGAGCTTTCAAAATAAACAGAACAATTAAGACTTTCACTTGGAATACCACTAAGAAAGACTATCCGAGGACCTGGGATTGGATAACGCAAAGTCCAAACATGAAATTATTTTAAATATCAGGAACATTTTTTGTCTCAAAAGTTTAAAATTTAACTAAAAAGATATCTTCTTGTTTTGAATCATTACTGAATGATGAAACTATTAAACCTCAAGTCTGAACATAAGGGTAATAAAAAATTAAAGATTTTGTTTTCAGTTGTATATAAGAATACTCCTAAATAAACCACTTGAAATATTAGAAGTGGGGGAGGGGGAATAAGAAAATGATCAAAGCAGTACTCAAGTTGAAGAAAGACACTATAAAGAGCCAACTCATATTAACATGTGAGACAATGAGTGCTCACTGATGGGTTAACTAGACTTAATCTACAGAACAAGCTTTTTCATTAAGTTCACAGTAGTTTTTATTCCTAGGTCACCTGAACTCCATATACCTTATTATTTTGTTTTATATTATGGAAACAAATTGTTTAACTGATTTGCTGACCAAGGGTCTTCTACAGATATATTAATTCCTCCAGCTGAACTGAAGTTCACTTTAAAAGAACTGAGTAGCAAAGGTATTTAAAACATTCAAAACAG